CCTAGACTAGATAAGGTCCAACAACACTAAAGTCATAAGCATACAAGGCAGCATGAACATGTGCAATAGAAATGGTAAAAATAGGCACACCACACTTCATCAGAAAGTACCAGTCCGGAGGCACATTCGGAGGGCCAAAGTGCAGGCGGTAGTGGTCGTTGAGGGGCGAAAGTAGCGTGCCGCAGAATGGTACAGTCGCCCGCAGAAGGTGCCAGCTCCGAAGCCAGTATGAATGTGTTACTGGCACGACCCGGCATTAAGGCGACCTGAGCCACCTCCATGACTAAGCCAATGCGGCGCTCAGCAACCCCATTCTGCTGTGGAAAGGCCGGAAGCGTGAACGACTGGCGGATGCCCTCCCCACGACAAAAGTCCCGTAAGAGGTCGGAGGAGAACTCACCACCTCTGTCAGAGTGCAGACGTAGGACAGGAAGGTCCTGGCGGAACCGCTCGCGGAGTTGGAGACAGACAGCACGGATCCAAGGGATCAAGACATCAGGGACCTCCCCCTTGCTGCGCAAGGGGAAGACCGTGGTGTAACGCGAGTCTGCAAGGGAGCAGTCGTCAGGGGAAACGAGGAGGGATGAGGAGCAGCGCGCTGCCGTCCCTCGACGCAAGGAAGGCAGGGCGGGGCAGGCGAGGGCGGGAGGGGAGGCAGAGACCTGGGAGTGACCATCGCATCCTGGAGGGCAGCGGTACTCACCAAGTTCGTAGAGAACGAGGGGAGGTGGAGACCTGACAGTGAGCCAGACGGAACCGCCGGACACGGGAGAACAGTGGTGGAACGTGCAAGAACTGGGCCCCCTGAGGGGTCAGCCAGTCTGACTGCAACAAGTGCATGGAGTGGTGTGAGTGTGGTACTGTCGCGAAAGAAACAGCGGGAAGCACGTGAGTCAAGCGTGAGGGTGTGCAAGGCCTCAGCAGGTGCAGTATCAGGGAGAGCAAACTCACTAGCACCTAGAGCAGCAGCCACTATACCTGGGTCGGGCGGCACACAGAGGTAACAGTCACCCTCAGCACTAACAGTCAAGGCATATATGGCAGCAAGGATAGCATCATTGTCAAGAGCAAAGATATCAACACCAGACCTAAGCAGCTCTAGCAAGCGGGGGCGCTCAGCCTCGTCACCAAACTCTGCGCGCCAAGCGTCGTCAAGGCGAGAGAAGCAGCGGTGCCGTGTGTGAAACTTCCCGCATGTCTGACCAGCGCGGTCACCTGTGCGAATGACATACGGGCAGCGAACACTACCCCCAACCGCCCCACGCTGAGCAAACCACTCACGAAGCTGCTGGGGCGTAGGGGTCTCGCTCGGACGCTGCTGCTGCTGCCTCTGGCCACCGCCAGAACCTCCCCTCTGAACAGCTCCACCCCGACCGCCACCACTGCAGCCACCACCACTCCCACTGCCGCCACCACCGCCACCACCACTCCCACCGCTGCCACCACCGCCGCCACCGACGCTCCCACTCCCGCCACCACTCCCATCGCCACCTCCGCCACCTCCACCGTCTCCACCGCCTCCGCCACCACCACCCCCGCTGCCACCTCCACCACTCTTGCCTCCCTTGCCCTTGCCGATGCGCTTCCCACTAGGAGCAGAAGCAGCCCCGACCTCCTCAGTACCAAGGATGTCAACAGCAGCACCAGAAGCGTAGGGGGGGGGGGGGAACACCCCTCAACGAAGGGTGTGCGAGGAGTGCCACGAGCAGCACCTACAGCGACTAAGCTAGTCTCAGCTGCAAGGAGGTGCTTCTCGAGCAGGTCCACAGTGAGGTCAGTGGGGTCAAGTGCGAGAAAGTGGTCCTTGACTGCGCGAAGAGAGTCAGGGAGGCGGGTGACTATGAAGTAGAGAGTGATGTACATCGGGGGCGGGTTCTTGTCTAGGAACTCGGCTTTGAGGGCTGCGCGGTAGCGACTGTCGCTAGTGCGAAGGTGGGTGATGAGGTCCTCGACTGTGGCAAAGGCTGACAGCTCGGGAAAAAAGGTAGGGCAGTATAAGGCGGCCGAGAGCAGCAGTGGCAGGGGAAGAGTAACGAGCGACTACAGCGTCGTACAGGGCTTTAGCAGTCTTGTGCTAGCCAAAGTGAGCGCGTTCGGCTAACGGCAGGTCGTTGCGAACGGCTAAGCGAGCAGCAGCGTCACGGGTAAGCCACTGTAAGCGAGTCGCACTGTCAGCTGTGTCGGGAGGGGCGAGAGAGGCTCCAGACGTGTGGTCAAACAACGAAACGATGTCTCTAGAATCGCTCTGTAGGTACAGCTGTAAGTCATCGAGCCACGTATCGAACTGGATCGGACGGCCCTCAGGATCGAATTTGAGAACGCTGAGAGTAGCCATAGCGGGCAGAGCAGGGTGGCGCGTGACGAGCTGGGCGGCGCACGTGCACTAGGAAAACGCTCAGGGCAGGGCAGGGCGGCGCACGGCCAAGACAGGGCGGCGCGTAGGGCAGAGCAGAGCAGCGCGCGGGCAAGGCAGGGCGGCGCGCGGGCAGGAACGGCGGCGCGCGGCGAGTAGGGCGGCGCGCGGGCAGGAAAGGGGCGGCGCGCGGCCAGCAGGGCGGCGCGCGGGCTGCAAATGGCGGCGCGCGGGCAGGAAAGGGGCGGCGCGCGGCCAGCAGGGCGGCACGCGGGCTGCAAAGGGTGGCGCGCGGGCTGTAAAGGGCGGCGCGGCGGCCAGCAGGGGGCGCGCGGGCAGGGCAGGGCGGCTCGGCAGCCAGCAGAGCGGCGCACGGGCAGGGCAGGGCGGCGTGGCGGCCAGTAGGGCGGCGCGCGGGCAGGGCAGGGCAGCGCGCGGCCAGCAAGGCGGCGCGACAGGCAGGGCAGGGCGGCACGGCAGCCAGCAGGGCGGCGCGCGGCTAGCAGGGCGGCGCGACGGGCAGGGCAGGGCGGCGCGGCAGTTAGCAGGGCGGCGCGCGGCCTGCAGGGCGGCGCAACGGGCAGGGCAGGGCAGCGCGACTGGTGGGGCAGCGCGACGAGCAGGGTAGGGCGCTACGAACAGGGTAACGCGCTACGGGCAAGGAACTATTCGGTGGGCCCTAAAAAAAACGGTCCTGGAACAGTACCCGCTCTAAAACCATGTCAGAATACTGAACGAGTATGAATGCATTGACAAGAAACTGAGTACAAGTACTAACCCTAATTGGGTTGTACCCCTTATGGGCTACCCCACTACAGCCTACACAATATAAACATTATAACAGTTTGACATGGTCGTCGTTGACAGGCTGACAAAATGGCTCACTTCGATGCGTGCCGGAATTCGATCTCAGCCGAAGAAACTGCTCGCCTGTTCATCGCAACCGTAGTTCGACTGCACAGGATACCAGCGACCGTGACACGAAGTTTACCAGCAATTTCTGGAAGATCCTTTGGGAGCAGTTCAGGACCAAGCCACCTTTCAGCTTGTCGTACCACCCCGAGACCAGCGGTCAAACGGAGCGGACGAACCAAACCATGGAGCAGCTGATTCGTGCCACGTGCGACGACTCGACAACATGGGAGCAGCAGCTTCCGCTGATCGAGTTCGCCTACAACAACGCCACATCAGCGACGACGCAGCGGTCCCCGTTTTACCTGAACTACGGGCAAAATCCAACAGTGCCCATGACGCCGAGTTCGGACAATCCCACGCCACGCGCTCAACAGTTCGCCGAGATACTGCAAGCTGCCCGAACGCGAGCAGCAGAAGCAATAAAAAAAGCAAACGTCATCGCTAAGAGAAATGCCGACCGCCACCGCCGTCCAGTGACGTACCAGTCTGGGGATTATATACTGCTCGACACACAGAATTTAAGACTGCAAGTCGTACCGAAACTTCGCCCGCGCGACTGTGGACCGTTCCAAATCAGCCACATGATCACCCCAGTTACCGCCCATTTACTGTTGCCAACACACTGGTACATTAGCCCATCGTTCCACGTTAGCTTGCTTCGCCCATACATCTCGACCAAAAGCCAACTGCCACGCCATTGCCCGCCGTCCATGACTCGCCCTGAATCGGAGCCGATCGTCGAGCCCGAGAAGATTCTGAGCCATCGGATTCGTCACCCCACAGGCATCAAGAGGATCGAGTTCCTCGTTCGCTGGAAGGACTGCACGCCAACTGAAGATAGCTGGGTGCCCCTGGCCAACATCGAAAACCACCCTGCCCTACAAGTGTACCTGAGGATCCGGGGTTTCCGCGATATACACGCACTCGCATAGCGGAGGGGGGGGGGGTAGTGTAAGGATTTTTTTCGGCATTCCTTACCGCGTTCTTCAACATCGCGTACAGCAGCAGCTGTTGTTCGCCCGTTGCTGCTAACGGGGCTTCGCCAACTTCGCGCGCACTGCTTACCAAACCATGCACCGCTGGCCTGGCCGAGTCGGCCTACGCTTCGGGACAAGCCCGAACCAGGGTCGTCCCAAGGGTCTGAGGTATGTCTGATGCATCAGATGGGTCCCCCGGGCAAAAAAAAAGTTTTGTCTGATGGTGACTGGCCCATCAGATTTATAAAAAAAAAACATGTCTGAATATCAGCTAAACAGACAAAAAAAATATGCTAGCGACGACCCTGGCCCGAACCTCGATGCCAGCCTAGCACTAGCTAGCTCGCACGCACCGACAAATCGTTGCATGTTTTCGCACATAAGTATCGCTCATAGTACCTTCGCTCATACTTTGTACTCGTTTGACACCTAGTGCAATCCTCGCTATCTCGTTCCATAGCACCCGTAACAGTCATTCAGTAATTTCAGAGGCTCGTTACGCGTTATTCAGCGCACTCTGTAAGTTCATTTATAACAACTAGGCTGTCAAAAGTCGACGCGGTTACCCTACAAAAAAAGGTTACTCTGACAATTTTTGACATGATCTGTGACGAGTTGGACCCGCCCTCAGTACTCCAGTTCCCTCGAGATCTGCCCTTGCTGGGATTGTCACATGATCATCCCGTGTTCCAGTAGCGCTCTCAGCTAGAATCCCTGTTGCTCTTAGCCGGCTCGACGCCATGGCGACCTCTAGCATGCGCGGCTTGTCGGTGTTCATATCCGATATTCGGAACTGTCAGAACAAGGAGCAGGAGCGACTACGAGTCGACAAGGAGCTCGCGAACATTCGCACGCATTTCAAGGCTGAACGTGTAAGACGGCGGGCGTGGCCGTGGTCTTTCGCAGTGGTAGAGTCGTAAAAGTCAACTCGCAGTGGTAGCGTCGTAAAAGTTAACTCGCAGTGGTAGCGTCGTAAAAGTCAACTCGCTGTGGTAGCGTCGTAAAAGTCTTTCGCAGTGGTAGCGTCGTAAAAGTCTGGAAAGTCGAATGCTTTCAGGGAAGTCGTGTCGCTTTCGGGTACAGCAGGCATCAACTTTCACGATGCGCCGCGACATGGTTGGATTAGACCATTCAATTTAGATCGAACCCCCGCATATCTTATAGCCACGATGATAGGCCTGATGGGGAGCGGTCAGCTTGATAGGTCGTAAATAAGGTGATGATTTAGAAGTGAGGCGATACTGTGTGTGGAGAGCTGGATTGCCAGGTCACATGTCTTGAGTTGACTGAGTTGACTCGCAAGTGTTGACTTGACTCACAGTTCTTGAGTTGACTGAGTTGAATCGCAAATCTTGACTTGCGAGTTCTTGTGTCCGTGCGTGTCCGTGTCTGTGCGTGTCCGTCTGTGCGTATGGGTGTCTGTATCTGTGCGTGTCTGTGTCTTTGCGTGTCCGCGTCTGTGCGTGTCCGCATCTGTGCGTGTCCGTGTCTGTGCGTATGGGTATCTGTATCTGTGCGAGTCCGCGTCTGTGCGTGGCCATGTCTGAGCGCACAGAAGCTAACGCCATACGAGAAGAAGAAGTACGTGTGAAAGCGGCTATACATCTTCATGCTCATGTTTGTATCTCTCTGTGCGTATGTGCCTGTACCCGTCCGTCCGTGCATGTATGAGCGCACAGAAGTTGACACCATACGAGAAGAAGAAGTACGTGTGGAAGCTGCTCTATATCTTCATGCTCGGCTATGACGTCGACTTCGGCCACATGGAGGCTGTCTCCCTCATCTCCGCCCCCAAATACGCAGAAAAACAGGTGCTCTCCCCGCTCTCCCCGCTCTCCCCGCTCTCCCCGCTCTCTCCATGCTCTCCCCCATTTCCGCGCCTAAACACGCCAAGGAAAAGGTCTGTTCTCTTCTACTCCGCCGTGCCCACCTGCTCGTCCACCTGCGTCCGTCCGCCTGCTGCCTGCTGCCTGCTGCTGTGCGTCCGTCCGCCTGCTGACTCCTTTGGTCAAGGGCGTGGCAGGTGTCCTGACGTAGGAAAAATGCATCACTGATTGTGTGTGTGTGCTTGTGCCCAAGTGCCCATGTACCCATGTGTGTGTGCATGTGTGCGCCTGCCCATGCTTGCATGCATGACACGTGGCAGGTGGGGTACATGGTGACGTCATGTCTGCTGAACGAGAACAACGACTTTCTGCGCCTCGTCATCAACTCCGTCAGGAATGACATCATCGGTCGCAACGAGACCTTTCAGTGCCTCGCTCTCACCATGGTACTGCCTCGCCCTCACCATGGTACTGCCTCGCTCTCACCATGGTACTGCCTCGCTCTCACCATGGTACTGCCTCGCCCTCACCATGGTACTGCCTCGCTCTCACCATGGTACTGCCTCGCTCTCACCATGGTACTGCCTCGCTCTCACCATGGTACTGCCTCGCTCTCACCATGGTACTGCCTCGCCCTCACCATGGTACTGCCTCGCCCTCACCATGGTACTGCCTCGCCCTCACCATGGTACTGCCTGCCTCACCATGGTATGCCTCCGCTCGCTTCTTTCTCCCACATATCCCCACTCCCATCCCCTCACCATGCTAATGCCCCTCCCACTGCCTCGCCCTCACCATGGCATGCCTCCGTCCTTCCCCTCCGCATCCTCAGCCCCATCCGCTTCGCCCTCTCCCGCCCTCGCTTTCATTATCCCTCCCTCCCGTTCTGCCCTTCCAGCTGTCTTCAGAGCCCGCCTGAACCACCCAAAACCTCTTCTCCGCCCTTCCATCTCTCACTTCTCTCCGCGTGTTTCACACCAAGCTCTACACCCTCCACCCACCTCTCCTCCGCTCCCCCGTCCACCCCCCCTCCCCCGTCTTCCCCTGCCACCTCCTCCCCTTCCCTCAACCTCTGCCTTCCCCCCCTGCCTTTCCCCCTCCCCCCCCCCCCTGGCAGGTGGGCAACATCGGGGGGAAGGAGTTCTCAGAGTCCGTCGCCCCTGACGTGCAGAAGCTGCTGGTAGGGAGGGGAGGAGGAGGGGGGATGAGGATGCGGTTGGGCAGGAGGAGATGGTGGGGGTGGGGCAAGAAGCGGGGGAGCAAGGATGGGATGGTGGGGATGGGGCAAGAAGCGGGGGAGCAAGGGTGGGATGGTGGGGATGGGGCAAGAAGCGGGGGAGCAAGGATGGGATGGTGGGGGTGGGGCAAGAAGCGGGGGAGCAAGGATGGGATGGTGGGGGTGGGGCAAGAAACGGGGGAGCAAGGATGGGATGGTGGGGGTGGGGCAAGAAGCGGGGGAGCAAGGATGGGGCAGGATGGGATCAAGCTGGGGCAGGGGTGGTGGGGGAGGGGAGGGTGCAACTTCGGTAGGGCAGGGAAGGTTTTGCAGACGCCCCGCACCATCTGGCTGCTTGTGTGTGGCGCAGAGGCATACATACAGAGTGCGCTATGTCTTACTCACACCACACCTGCTTCGCTCAACATCTTCTCCATCCCATTCACTCCTGCCTCCTCTCCCCCCCTTTTCATTGCACTCCCACACACTGCTCGCCCTCCCCTAGCCCTTCCCTGCCTCTCCTCCCCTTTCGTCCTCTGGATTCATTCCCCCACCCCTTCCTCCCTCCTCTCCCATCCGGTCTGCTGGGCTCGCCCCCCTGCGCTCACTGCCCTCAGCTGTCGAGCTCAGCGCGGCCGCTGGTGAAGAAGAAGGCAGCGCTGTGCCTGCTGAGGCTCTTCCGCAAGAACCCCGACATCATCAGCACTGACACGTGGTGAGTGACGTCATCATCAGCACCGACACGTGATGAGTGACGTCATCATCAGCACAGACACGTGGTGAGTGACGTCATCATCAGCACCGACACGTGATGAGTGACGTCATCATCAGCACCGGCTCGTGGTGAGTGACGTCATCATCAGCACCGGCTCGTGGTGAGTGGGAGCCCGACACAGCTGAGGCCCTTCCGCAAGTAGCCCAACATCATGAGCAGCGACACGACACGTGTGCAGCATCTTCCATCCACATCTCCTCCCCGTGCACTGCACCATTGCCACGCCTTGCCAACCCCCCATACCCATTGCCACCCATTGCGCAGCCCATAATCCCCCCCTGCCTCTTCTCATCCCCCCATGAAAATTTGTCCTGCGGGATGGCATTAAACCCTGCCCATCCTCTCCCTCTTTGCCAGGCCACAGCGCATGGCGAGTCTGCTGGAGGAGCGCAGTCTGAGCGTGCTGCTGGCAGCCATGTCGTTGCTCGTGGCGCTGGTGGCAGCGAACCCGGAGGCGTACCTGTGCTGTGTGCCCAAGTGCGTCAAGGTGTTGGAGCGCCTCGCCAAGTGTGTGGACATCCCGCAGGACTACACCTACTACGCCATTCCATCGCCCTGGCTGCAGGTATGCTGTGCTGTGCCATCCCCTCGCCCTGGCTGCAGGTACGCTTCAGCAAGTACTCAACTCGAACCGGGTCAAACTTCCCCCCTAGTTGACTGTTGAACCGAACCGGTTCAGTTTGGGTTGAACCGAAATGGATGGGGCCTGCCTAGTCTGGAGGTTCCGCCAGCAAGGGCTTGAGCGCCAGCAAGGGCTTGAGCGACTGGCCAAGTGTGTGGACACCCCCCAGGACTACACCTACTATGCCATCCCCTCGCCGTGGCTGCAGGTGCGTCTGTGCTGTGCCATACGCATCCTGCCCGTCACCCTGGCTGCAGGTGCTGTTGCGAAATGCCATGTTGTTTCTGAGAATTCTCAAAAACACCACGCGGCTCCCTCGCCCTGCCTGCAGGTGCTGTTGTGAAGTGCCATTCCCCTGCCCTGGCCTTTCCGGTTCATGTCCTCCTTCCCTCATCTGCTGCCGCCACCACCACTTCCTCCCCCAACTCTTTCCTTCCATCTCATCGTTCCACCACCCCCCTTTCCGTCCATCCACTTCTCTCCCCACCCACCCCCCTCCCCTCTCAACACATGCCCCCCTGTGCTGTGGACCGCCAGGTGAAGTTGCTGCACTACTTTCCGTCCATCAAAGACGAGTTTCGAGACGCCTCAAACCCTTGTCCCCCCCTTTACCCTTGTTCCCCCCTCCCCCGTCAATGTGCCCCTGGGGAGCGGGCGGCAGGTGAAGACGATGCGGGTGCTGCAGTACTTCCCGTCCATCGAAGACCCCTCCATCCGCAAGTCGCTGCTCGAGGTGTGTTTGTGTTGCTCCCTCTCCTCGCCTCTGCCCTCTTTTGAGTCGACTCGTCACCTCGTTACAAAAGTCACCTCGTTACGTCACCTCGTTTTGAGTCGACTCAAAAGTCACCAAGTTGCTGCTCGAGGTGTGTTGCTCCATCTCCTCCTCGCCTCTGCCCTGCCCTCTTCGATTTTGTGCTCCTTTGCGCTTTTCTTCTCTCCAATCAACAAGTCTCGCATGGCTCCCACGTGAGAAGGTTTGAAATGCTAGATTGTGTGCGGTCGAGTGCACGCTGAATGGCATGCCATGCCACCATCCCCTCCCCGTGCAACCCACCCACGCACCATCCGCTACTGGTGTGCATGCTGCTACAGGGCAGGGCAGGGCAGGGATGTTTCAGAATAGCGTGTGCCTCATGTCGTCCCCATACCCCCTCATTCCCTCATGTCCTCCCTTGTTACCATGCACCGTACATGCCCCCCCCAACCCATGGCATGGCATGGCATCAGGTGCTGGCGCGCGTACTGCAGGGCACGGAGGTGGTGAAGAATGTCAACAAGAACAACGCCGCCCACGCCATCCTCTTTGAAGCCCTCGCGCTCGTACGTACGCCCCTCCACTGCTTTCCAGACATCTCAAAAGTCGTTTTGAGACGTCTCAAAAGTAGCCCTCGCGCTGGTACTACCCTCCAGTGCTCTCTTACAAACCCTCCTACTGCCCTCCTTCTGCCCTTCTGAACCCTCCGATTGCCCTCCCTCTGCCCCTCCTTTTTTTCCTCCTATTGCCCTCAAGTCCACCTCGTGCCACTCCACTCACCCCACCTCCAAGTGTGTGCCCAACAGCTGCTCAACCTCACTCTGCCACTCCCCCCTCCCCCCCACGCATGCGTGCCTCTCCCTGCGCGGGGCCGGGCCGCCAGGCGAAGCAAATGGACGCAGACAGGGAGGTGATGGCGCACTGCTGCTGGCTCACACATATCCGCTAACCATCCCCCTTCTCACCCCCCCACCCTCCCCGCCCCCGCCAGGCGATGCACATGGACGCGGAGAGGGAGGTGATGGCGCACTGCTGCTGGTTCACACATATCTGCTAACCATCCCCCGCTCACCCCCCCACCCTCCCCGCCCCCGCCAGGCGATGCACATGGACGTGGAGAGGGAGGTGATGGCGCACTGCGTGGGGCTGCTGGGCAAGTTCGTGGGCGTGAGGGAGCCCAACATCCGCTACCTTGCCCTCGTGAGTACCAGGGGGCCGGGGCTCACTGCTGACTGGCTCGTGTGGCGCTGGCCATGCCATGCCATGCCATGCCATGCCATGCACAGTTGCGCGCACATGCTACAGCCATGGTGGTGCTGCTGCTGGGCAAGTTCGTGGGCGTGCGTGAGCCCAACATCCGCTACCTCGCCCTCGTGAGTGCCACCCACATACCATCCATGCCTCATTGCTCAGTGCTCGCTGCTCACTGCACTGCACCGTACTGCACCGCACTGACTGCGCAATGAGGCAGCTGACTAGGTGAGTGCTGGTCACGATGCCATGCCATGCACAGTAGCGCAACGCAGTGGCGCTGCTGCTGGGGAAGCTCATGGGCTCGCGTGGGAGGTCAACATCCAATAACCGGGTAACCCAGCCTCGTGAGTCATGAGCGCACTGCTTTCTTAGGACGGCACGTTCGCACTCACGTGAGGGCTGACTAGGTGGTTACCATCCCTTGGTGCACTCACATGCTGCAGCATCGATGCCACTCCCATGTCATGTCATGGATCTATGCTCACAATTCCTGGTCTTGCCTCATGTGATGGGATGTGTTGGGATGAGTTGATACGTGATGGCATGGGACAACATGGAATGGCATGGGATGACATGGAATGGCATGGGATGACATGGAATGGCATGGGTTGGCATGTGGGCATGTCATGTGGGCATGGCATGTGGGCATGGCATGACGTGGCATGGCGAGTGTGTGGGAGCAGGAGAACATGGCGCGCATGTTGATGGTGGCAGACGTGCAGGATGACATCAGAGGCTTCCAGAGCCAGATCGTGCACTCCCTCAAGGACCCCGATATGAGGTGCACTCCCTCAAGGACCCCGATATGAGGTGCACTCCCTCAAGGACCCCGATATCAGGTGCACTCCCTCAAGGACCCCGATATCAGGTGCACTCCCTCAAGGACCCCGATATCAGGTGCACTCCCTCAAGGACCCCGATATCAGGTGCACTCCCTCAAGGACCCCGATATCAGGTGCACTCCCTCAAGGACCCCGATATGAGGTGCACTCCCTCAAGGACCCCGATATCAGGTGCACTCCCTCAAGGACCCCGATATCAGGTGCACTCCCTCAAGGACCCCGATATCAGGTGCACTCCCTCAAGGACCCCGATATCAGGTGCACTCCCTCAAGGACCCCGATATCAGGTGCACTCCCTCAAGGACCCCGATATCAGGTGCACTCCCTCAAGGACCCCGATATCAGGTGCACTCCCTCAAGGACCCCGATATCAGGTGCACTCCCTCAAGGACCCCGATATCAGGTGCACTCCCTCAAGGACCCCGATATCAGGTGCACTCCCTCAAGGACCCCGATATCAGGTGCACTCCCTCAAGGACCCCGATATCAGGTGCACTCCCTCAAGGACCCCGATATCAGGTGCACTCCCTCAAGGACCCCGATATCAGGTGCACTCCCTCAAGGACCCCGATATCAGGTGCACTCCCTCAAGGACCCCGATATCAGGTGCACTCCCTCAAGGACCCCGATATCAGGTGCACTCCCTCAAGGACCCCGATATCAGGTGCACTCCCTCAAGGACCCCGATATCAGGTGCACTCCCTCAAGGACCCCGATATCAGGTGCACTCCCTCAAGGACCCCGATATCAGGTGCACTCCCTCAAGGACCCCGATATCAGGTGCACTCCCTCAAGGACCCCGATATCAGGTGCACTCCCTCAAGGACCCCGATATCAGGTGCACTCCCTCAAGGACCCCGATATCAGGTGCACTCCCTCAAGGACCCCGATATCAGGTGCACTCCCTCAAGGACCCCGATATCAGGTGCACTCCCTCAAGGACCCCGATATCAGGTGCACTCCCTCAAGGACCCCGATATCAGGTGCACTCCCTCAAGGACCCCGATATCAGGTGCACTCCCTCAAGGACCCCGATATCAGGTGCACTCCCTCAAGGACCCCGATATCAGGTGCACTCCCTCAAGGACCCCGATATCAGGTGCACTCCCTCAAGGACCCCGATATCAGGTGCACTCCCTCAAGGACCCCGATATCAGGTGCACTCCCTCAAGGACCCCGATATGCAGGTGCACTCCCTCAAGTACCCCGATATGAGGTGCACTCCCTCAAGGACCCCGATATCAGGTGCACTCCCTCAAGGACCCCGATATCAGGTGCACTCCCTCAAGGACCGCGATATCAGGTGCACTCCCTCAAGGACCCCGATATCAGGTGCACTCCCTCAAGGACCCCGATATCAGGTGCACTCCCTCAAGGACCCCGATATCAGGTGCACTCCCTCAAGGACCCCGATATCAGGTGCACTCCCTCAAGGACCCCGATATCAGGTGCACTCCCTCAAGGACCCCGATATCAGGTGCACTCCCTCAAGGACCCCGATATCAGGTGCACTCCCTCAAGGACCCCGATATCAGGTGCACTCCCTCAAGGACCCCGATATCAGGTGCACTCCCTCAAGGACCCCGATATCAGGTGCACTCCCTCAAGGACCCCGATATCAGGTGCACTCCCTCAAGGACCCCGATATCAGGTGCACTCCCTCAAGGACCCCGATATCAGGTGCACTCCCTCAAGGACCCCGATATCAGGTGCACTCCCTCAAGGACCCCGATATCAGGTGCACTCCCTCAAGGACCCCGATATGAGGTGCACTCCCTCAAGGATCCCGATATCAGGTGCACTCCCTCAAGGACCCCGATATCAGGTGCACTCCCTCAAGGACCCCGATATCAGGTGCACTCCCTCAAGGACCCCGATATCAGGTGCACTCCCTCAAGGACCCCGATATCAGGTGCACTCCCTCAAGGACCCCGATATCAGGTGCACTCCCTCAAGGACCCCGATATCAGGTGCACTCCCTCAAGGACCCCGATATGAGGTGCACTCCCTCAAGGACCCCGATATGAGGTGCACTCCCTCAAGGACCCCGATATCAGGTGCACTCCCTCAAGGACCCCGATATCAGGTGCACTCCCTCAAGGACCCCGATATCAGGTGCACTCCCTCAAGGACCCCGATATGAGGTGCACTCCCTCAAGGACCCCGATATGAGGTGCACTCCCTCAAGGACCCCGATATCAGGTGCACTCCCTCAAGGACCCCGATATCAGGTGCACTCCCTCAAGGACCCCGATATCAGGTGCACTCCCTCAAGGACCCCGATATCAGGTGCACTCCCTCAAGGACCCCGATATCAGGTGCACTCCCTCAAGGACCCCGATATCAGGTGCACTCCCTCAAGGACCCCGATATCAGGTGCACTCCCTCAAGGACCCCGATATCAGGTGCACTCCCTCAAGGACCCCGATATCAGGTGCACTCCCTCAAGGACCCCGATATCAGGTGCACTCCCTCAAGGACCCCGATATCAGGTGCACTCCCTCAAGGACCCCGATATCAGGTGCACTCCCTCAAGGACCCCGATATCAGGTGCACTCCCTCAAGGACCCCGATATCAGGTGCACTCCCTCAAGGACCCCGATATCAGGTGCACTCCCTCAAGGACCCCGATATCAGGTGCACTCCCTCAAGGACCCCGATATCAGGTGCACTCCCTCAAGGACCCCGATATCAGGTGCACTCCCTCAAGGACCCCGATATCAGGTGCACTCCCTCAAGGACCCCGATATCAGGTGCACTCCCTCAAGGACCCCGATATCAGGTGCACTCCCTCAAGGACCCCGATATCAGGTGCACTCCCTCAAGGACCCCGATATCAGGTGCACTCCCTCAAGGACCCCGATATCAGGTGCACTCCCTCAAGGACCCCGATATCAGGTGCACTCCCTCAAGGACCCCGATATCAGGTGCACTCCCTCAAGGACCCCGATATCAGGTGCACTCCCTCAAGGACCCCGATATCAGGTGCACTCCCTCAAGGACCCCGATATCAGGTGCACTCCCTCAAGGACCCCGATATCAGGTGCACTCCCTCAAGGACCCCGATATCAGGTGCACTCCCTCAAGGACCCCGATATCAGGTGCACTCCCTCAAGGACCCCGATATCAGGTGCACTCCCTCAAGGACCCCGATATCAGGTGCACTCCCTCAAGGACCCCGATATCAGGTGCACTCCCTCAAGGACCCCGATATCAGGTGCACTCCCTCAAGGACCCCGATATCAGGTGCACTCCCTCAAGGACCCCGATATCAGGTGCACTCCCTCAAGGACCCCGATATCAGGTGCACTCCCTCAAGGACCCCGATATCAGGTGCACTCCCTCAAGGACCCCGATATCAGGTGCACTCCCTCAAGGACCCCGATATCAGGTGCACTCCCTCAAGGACCCCGATATCAGGTGCACTCCCTCAAGGACCCCGATATCAGGTGCACTCCCTCAAGGACCCCGATATCAGGTGCACTCCCTCAAGGACCCCGATATCAGGTGCACTCCCTCAAGGACCCCAATATCAGGTGCACTCCCTCAAGGACCCCGATATCAGGTGCACTCCCTCAAGGACCCCGATATCAGGTGCACTCCCTCAAGGACCCCGATATCAGGTGCACTCCCTCAAGGACCCCGATATCAGGTACGGGGGAACCATGCTCATACGTGATGCGCAGCGCATGGTGCTATGATGCACATCCCCTAGCACATGCCATCGTCTCGTTTTCTCCCCTCCACCCCTTCCTGCCATCCCCTCCTCCCAGCATTCACCCTCGAGCCCTTCATGTGCTTCACAGGCTATGCAACATCCACAGGCCACGCGATATTGACAACGCCAAATGCTATGCCCCCCATCCTTCCCTCCCTTCTCCCCGTGCCTCCCCCTGCGTGCGTCCCCCCCAGCATTCGGCGGCGTGCGCTGGACCTGCTGTACGGGCTGTGCGACACCGACAATGCCAAGTTCATCGTCGAGCAGCTGCTGCAGGTGATTCAGGGGCGAGGGGAGGGTGAGGGGAGCAGCTGCTGCAGGTGAGTCAGGGGCGAGGGGTGAGGGGCTGCTGCAGGTGAGGGGAGCAGCTGCTGCAGGTGAGGGGTCTTTTTTAGACGTGCCTCAAAAGAGTCGGTGCTGCATTTGACGCCCCCCCACATGCTTCGTCTTTCTCTTTCTAACGACATTAGCATGTGTGCAGGTGGGCGCTCCGCCTTTTCTCGCTTCTCCTGTCCACCGCCCTCCCTCTCTCTCTCCACTCTGTCTTTGCCCCCCATTTCCCCTCCCTCCCCTTCTTCCCTCTCCCCCCCCTCCCCCCCCCCTCCCCCCCCCTCCCCCCCGCCTCCCCCACGCGCCCGTGGCGACGGCAGTACCTGACGGTGACTTTTGAGTCGACGCAAAAGTCAACTCTCCCTTTCCCTTCCCTCCCCCCGCCTCCCCCACGCGCCCCTGGCGGCGGCACGGCAGTACCTGACGGTGGCGGACTTTGTGATGCGCGAGGAGCTCACCCTCAAGACCGCCATCCTCGCTGAGAAGTTTGCCGTCGACCTGCCCTGGTGAGACAGAGAGGGGCGGGGGGAGGGGAAAGCTGTCCCTGGTGAGAGAGAGGGAGGCCTGCCCTGGTGGGTGGAGAGGGAGGCCTGCCCTGGTGGGTGGAGAGGGAGGCCTGCCCTGGTGGGTGGAGAGGGGGGGGGGGAATGGGGGAGGTGGGGTGGGATGCACAGGGTGGGATGCACAGGGTGGGATGCACAGGGTGGGATGCACAGGGTGGGATGCACAGGGTGGGATGCACAGGGTGGGATGCACAGGGTGGGATGCACAGGGTGGGATGCACAGGGTGGGATGCACAGGGCGGGATGCACAGGATGATAGCACCTCCCATCGACCCGCCTCTGCTCTTTCACACCCTTTCCTCTCCCATCTCCCACCCCTCGCTTTCCCACCCCCATTTCCCCTCTTCCCCCCTCCCTCCCTCCTCCCCCTCTCCGCCCTTCACCTGGTATGTGGACGTGGCTCTCTGCCTCATGCAGTGACCTCCACCTCCCTCTATTCCACATTCCTCTGTTCCGCTTTCCCCTGCTTCCCCAACCCCCCTCCTTCCCATGTCCCCTCGCCCCCTCGTCCCTCTGTCAGGTACGTGGACGTGATTCTGTGTCTCATGGAGCGAGCAGGCGACTTCGTGAGCGAGGACGTGTGGTACAGAGTGGTGCAGATCGTTACCAACAACGACGACCTGCAGCCCTATGCGGCCTCGCGAGTGCTCAAGCTCATGCGCAAGCCGGCGGTGCATGAGACCATGGTGAAGGTGCGCGGTGCATGAGACCATGGTGAAGGTGCGCGGTTCATGAGACCATGGTGAAGGTGCGCGGTGCATGAGACCATGGTGAAGGTGCGCGGGAATGGTGAAGGTGAGAGGCATGCACAAGACAATGCCCAAGGTGAGTCACATGCTGGCGGGCAGTTGCTGCTCGTTTTGCGACCATGGTCAGGTGAGAGGCGTGCATAAGACCACGGTAAGGTGAGAAACAGTGGTGATGGTGAGAAACAGTGGTGATGGTGAGAAACAGTGGTGATGGTGAGAAACAGTGGTGATGGTGAGAAACAGGGGTGATGGTGAGAAACAGGGGTGATGGTGAGAGAGTATGGTGATAACCAGCTCGCAGGACGTTGCTGTTCGTTTTGTAGCCATTTTTGGCTTCTTTAAGCCTTTCCCATGGTCATGCTGGTCCCTTCGTGTTGTCCAATGGATGTGTGCATGTGTGTGCATGGGCGCATGTGTGATGTGCGCATGTGTGATGTGCACAAGCGTACATGTCCACATTTTTGAATGTGCATGTGTGAACATGCATGCATGTGCATGTGCATGGGCATGGGCATGGGCATGGGCATGGGCATGGCAGGTGGGCAGCTACATATTGGGCGAGTTCAGCCATCTGTTGCCGCAGCAGCCAGGCTCCACAGCAGCGGACGTCTTTGCCGTGCTGCACGACAAGTTCCACACCGTCTCGTGCGTCCAGTCCAACCCCCCCGCCCCCCTCTCCCCCCCTCCACTCTCTTTCCCTCCACTCACTCCCTTCTCTCCTGTTTCCCCTCACTCTCTCGCCTCTCCCTTTCCTTCCCCCTCTTCTCTCCTCGCCCTTCCCCCCCCCCCTCCCTCTCCCCTCTCCTTCCACCTTCTCACCTCTGTTTTTTTCTCATCGCAACTCGATATGCGCATTAGCTGATGACCTTGCTGTGACGTTACCTCACTTTCTCTTTGTCTTTTCACACCGTCTCGTGCATCTCCCTGTCACTCTCACCACCCCTTCTTGCTCTCCCCCCTCCCTCACCTCTCTTATAACCCCCACCCGACCCCCACTAGCCCCCCACTCTTGTCCACCCTCACACTTCATCCCCCCCTTTCGCACCCAAACTTTCCTCCCCCACCCTTGCGCCCCATCTTGCTCCCTTCCTTGCCCCCCTCCCCTTTCCCCCGTTGCTCCTCCACCTCCCTTCTCTTACACCCTCACCACCACTGGCCCCCATGGCAGCATCCCCACGCGCGCCCTCATGCTGTCGGCGTATGTGAAGCTGGCAGTGCGCTCGCTGCCCGACGATGCGCTGCACGGCAAGCTCATGGCCATCTTCACTCGGTGAGGGACCCCCCCCACCCCGCCCTCATTGCCATCTTCACTCGGTACATGGCTGGGTTGGACCGGGGGGGTGGGTGGGTGGGTTGGTGGGTGGGGGGGTGGGTAAGGGAATGGGGAAGGGCGCCATGCGGTGGGGGGGTGGATGGGTGGGTGGTGTTGCGATGCCACTTGAATCGAGTCAGGCCCGCCTGCACTGCACTGCCAGTGCATGGCCATATTCACTTGGTGGGTTGTCAGGAAGGGGGGTTGGGGGGGTGGGGGATTGGGTGGGTGAGGGAATGGAGAAGTGCAGTGAGCAGCACGTAGCTGCCATGCCTCGCTGTGTATATCCCTTGTGATGCCTCATCCCATGCCCTCTTGCCCGCTCACCTCCTTTTGAGTCGACTCAAATGCAGCCTCATCCCATGTCCTCTTGGCTGCTCACCTCCTCCCGCACCCTCGTCCCTCCCAACGCCATCCTCCCCACTTTTCTCCGCAGCTACTAGAGCAGTGTGGTTTCGAGGTGCAGCAGCGGGCAGAGGAGCATGCCTCGCTGTTTGATGCTCCCATCCCGCGCCATTGTCCCTGCCCCCAACCCCTCCTTCACCCACCTTTTAATCCCCCCTTCTCCCTGCAGCTTTGAGGGCAGTGTGGATGCAGAGGTGCAGTGTGGATGCAGAGGTGCAGTGGGGATGCAGAGGTGCAGCAGCAGCACGCCTCGCTGTCATGCTCTCTTCGCCCCCCCTCACCTCCTCTGTCGCATTCTCCCCCTCCATTCCCCCCCCACTCCCCCTTATCACGTATGCAGCTACAAGAGCAGTGTGGGCGCGGAGGTGCAGTAGTGAGTACGCATCGCTGTGTGCCTCTGTGGTGCCTCGTCTTGTGCCCTTTTAGCCGCTCACCTCCTCCCTCTCCCTCTTCCTCGCCCCCTCCCCATGCCTCCCGCGTGCGTGCAGGTACGAGAGCAGTGTGGATGCGGAGGTGCAGCAGCGAGCAGTGGAGTATGCCTCTCTGTGCCGCAGGGGCGGCCCTGCCATGGCCGACATCGTTGCTGACATGCCCAAGTTCCCTCAGCGCGAGGTGCGGCCTGGTGGAAAGGAGGTGGAAAGGAGGTGGGGAGGAGGTGGGTCCTGGTGGAAAGGAGGTGGAAAGGAGGTGGGGAGGAGGTGGGTCCTGGTGGAAAGGAGGTGGAAAGGAGGTGGGGAGGAGGTGGGTCCTGGTGGAAAGGAGGTGGAAAGGAGGTGGGAAGGAGGTGGGTCCTGGTGGAAAGGAGGTGGGGAGGAGGTGCACGCAGTGGCGAGTTTGGGAGAGACGAGAGGAGCGGTGTGAGGAGCAGGGTGGTCTATATGAGCGGGCCTGAATGAGGGGCAGGGGCGGGCTGAATGAGGTGCAGGGGCGGGCTGAATGAGGGGCAGGGGCGGGCTGAATGAGGTGCAGGGGCGGGCTGAATGAGGTGCAGGGGCGGGCTGAATGAGGTGCAGGGGCGGGCTGAATGAGGGGCAGGGGCGGGCTGAATGAGGGGCAGGGGCGGGCTGAATGAGGTGCAGGGGCGGGCTGAATGAGGGGCAGGGGCGGGCTGAATGAGGTGCAGGGGCGGGCTGAATGAGGTGCAGGGGCGGGCTGAATGAGGGGCAGGGGCGGGCTGAATGAGGGGCAGGGGCGGGCTGAATGAGGTGCAGGGGCGGGCTGAATGAGGGGCAGGGGCGGGCTGAATGAGGTGCAGGGGCGGGCTGAATGAGGTGCAGGGGCGGGCTGAATGAGGGGCAGGGGCGGGCTGAATGAGGTGCAGGGGCGGGCTGAATGAGGTGCAGGGGCGGGCTGAATGAGGGGCAGGGGCGGGCTGAATGAGGTGCAGGGGCGGGCTGAATGAGGTGCAGGGGCGGGCTGAATGAGGTGCAGGGGCGGGCTGAATGAGGTGCAGGGGCGGGCTGAATGAGGTGCAGGGGCGGGCTGAATGAGGTGCAGGGGCGGGCTGAATGAGGGGCAGGGGCGGGCTGAATGAGGGGCAGGGGCGGGCTGAATGAGGTGCAGGGGCGGGCTGAATGAGGTGCAGGGGCGGGCTGAATGAGGGGCAGGGGCGGGCTGTATGAGAGTGTGTGTGAATGTGATGCAGAGTGGTCGTGCCATGGCGGACATTGTTGGTTGCATGTCCAAGTTCCCTGAGCACCAGGTGGGGCGAGTATGGTGGGTGAGGGCAAGGGCGAGTATGGTGGGTGGTAGTCGACCGGCTTCACTCATCTTTCTCCTCCTCACCCTCACGCAAGTCCTTTTCTCACCACCATCACTGCATCCCCTTCCCCCCACTTCCCTCCCTGCTGGCATGACAGTCGTCGCTGCTGCGGCGTGCGCCGGACAACGAGGGGGACAGTGCGGAGGTGAGCGCAGTGAAGCTGCGCGCCCACCACAGCAACGCCCTCGCCCTCGTCCCCGTCTCCGCCCCCCCCTCTGGCTCTGCCGCCAAGCTCCCTTCCGCCACCGCTGCCCCCGCTGCTGCTGATGGTGGTGTGGGGCCGGTGCGACGACCACAGCCAGCCTCCTCTGCTGATGTGAGCACCACTGCTGATGTGAGCACCACTGCTGATGTGAGCACCACTGCTCCCCACCCCATCATGTTGCCCGCCCCTGCTGCCGTGCTGCCGTGCTGCCATGCTGCCATGCTGCCATGCTGCCATGCTGCCACTCTCCCTGCTTGCCATAGCTGCCCCCTCGCCCCTCATGCTCTTTTCCCTCCGCTCAACCCAACCTATGGCTTCCTCACAATCACTACTCATCCGCACACATCCCCCACACTTCCTCTCAATCCTCCCCGTTCTCCCCCCCTGTCCCATCAGGGTACCCCGTCGTCCCCACCCCCGTCCACCACCCAGCCTGCACCCGCTCAGCCGCCCACCTCACTGGTGGACGAGCCAGCAGCCGCGCCCCCCCCTGCAGCAGGCAACGAGCTCGCCCTCGCCCTTGTGCCTGCGGACTCTGCCAACGCTGTGGGCGACCTGCTGGGGGAGCTGCTCTCACTTGATCCCTCCGCCTCCAACGCCCCTGCTGCTGCTGCGGGCGCCCCTGCTCCTGGTCCTGCTGCTGCCGCTGGTGCTGGTGGTTTGGGGGGAGCCGAGGCCGGGGCCATGGCACTGACGCTCTTTGACCAGACAGCTGCGCCCGCTGCTGTGGTGCAGGTACGGTGGGATGCTGTGGTGCAGGTACGGTGGGTGGGATGCTGTGGTGCAGGTTCGGTGGGATGCTGTGTTGCAGGTTCGGTGGGATGCTGTGGTGCAGGTACGTTGAGGTGCTGTGGTGCAGGTACGGTACGATGCTGTGGTGCAGGTACGGCGGGATGCGGAGGGGATGTGTTGTTGTGCAGTTACAGTGAGACGCGGCGGTGGAGTGAAGATGCTGCGTCCTGTGTGGGGGTGGGTGGAGGATGGGGGAGGAACCACAAGGGCAAGGAGCGACGGAGGGGAAGAAGAGATGATCGGAAATGGGAAGCGGCTGGTGAAAGTGGGAGGGCAGTCTGTGAGCCGCCTCACTCCATCCGCCTCTGCCATGCCTTCACAGTGCTGCCTTCACAGTGCTGCCTTCACAGTGCTGCCCTCACAGTGCTGCCCTCACAGTGCTGCCCTCACAGTGCTGCCCCCCTCCCATCATTCCACATCCCCCCTTTTTCCCTTGCCACCCTGCCCTGTGTGGCAGCCATTGGGCAGTGTGGCGGAGTGGTTCAGGGCGCTGATGGGCAAGGACAGCGGCGTGCTGTATGAGGACGCGCACCTGCAGGTGAGATTATCTCATTCGTACTAGCAGGTGAGATGATCGCTCTCATTCGTACTAGCAAGTGTGCAGTGGTAACTAGCAGGTGAGATGATCGCTCTCATTCGTACTAGCAGGTGTGCAGTGGTAACCACGTGGGCGCTGATGGGCAAGCACAGCGGCGTGCTTTATGAGGGGAGCGCCGCACCTGCAGGTGAGAGCCCCCCCTCTGAGAGGGGAGCGCCGCTGCAGGTAGGGACGATGGTAGGATATGCGTATGTCATGTCAGGTACTCATCTCGTACCCATACCATGCCATGTTACCCCTTCTTACCCAATACTGCGATTCGCTGAATGCACCGCCTTGCTCCATCTTCCCACCTCCTTGCTTCACCTCTCTCATCCCATTGCGTCATCCCCTGCACCACCTTGCCACTCGCTCTCCCGCGCTTCCACTGCCCATCACCACCCGTGCACCGCACGTCGTCCACGCGTGCATGGCATGGCAGATCGGGGTGAAGAGCGAGTGGAAGCCACCGCACGGCCGCCTGGTGCTGTTCATGGGCAACAAGGAGACGGCGCCGCTCACCGCTCTCACCGCCTCCACACCGCCCACGCCCGGCCTGCGAGTCATCCTCTCGCCGCTGCCTCAAGTCATCCCCCCCCGCGCCCAGGTCAGTCTCACTCCCTTCCTCTGCTTCCCTCTCCCCCCGTCTATTTGCTCTGGCCCACCCCCCGCGCTGTTCTTGCCGATCCCTCTTTCTGCTATCGCCTCGTCATTCTCCTCCTCCTCATACCTAAACCTCCCTGTTGGAATCCTCTCCTCTCCCATCCCCTCCGCCTTCATCCCCTCCACCCCTTCGCCTAGCATCCTCTTCCTCCCTCCTCCACCCCATTCCTTCTCCCCCCCTCCCCTGTCCCCCCCCTACAGATCCAGCTACCAGTGGAGGCGGCAGCAGTGCTGGTACCCAGGGAGGCGCCGCGCCTTGACCTGGCGTACACGCTGCCGTCGGGCACGCGCGTGCCGCTGCGCCTGCACCTGCCCGTGGGGCTCTGCAAGGCGCTGCTGCCGGCGTCGCTGTCGTCTGCTGACTTCTTTGCTCGCTGGAAGACCCTCTCTGCTCCGCCGCACAAACAGCAAGTCGTGGTGCGTGCTGCTGTGTGCTGGGGGGTGCTGCTGGGTGCTGGGTGGTGGGGGGTGGTGGGGTGTACTGCTGCCCTCTGAGTCGCCTCAAAAAGTGCTGCGGCCCTCATTGCTGTCCTCTGCTGACTTCTTTTCTTTGCTCGCTAAAAGACGCCCTTTGCGCCGCCGGACAAGCAGCAAGTGGTGGTGCGTGCAACAAAATTCTCTTGAACCAATGTGCTGCTGCTGCTGTGTGGTGGGGGGTGCAGCTATGTGCTGGAGGGTGCTGGTGTGTTCCTGGGAATGTTGCTGTGGATGTGACGTGCAGGCATGCCATGCGTGATGCCATGGCTTCTTGCATTGTGCTGCCGCTGCATACCGCATGCCTCGTCCACATGCCGCTACCTGCCACCTCTCACCTCCTCACCTCTCACTCACTCAATTCTCCCCCCATGACAGGACTGCAAGTCACTCCCACACTCACCCACTCGCTCGCACATCCTCCCCCCCCCCCCCCCCCCCCTCCCATGTCCCCCTCATTTGCCCCTTTCCCCCACCAGCTGAGGGGAGTGAAGCCGCTGCCACTGCCTGCACTGGCACAGCTGCTGGCGTCCATGCGCATCAACCCACTGCCCAACCTGGTCAGTCCCAACTGCCACCTCTCCCGCTTTCCACCACCAACCCTTTGCTCGTTCATCCCCCCCTCGTTTCACAATTTCCGGCATTTTCCACCCCATCCCCCTCTATCCTCTCTCACCCTCTCCCCTACTCACCCCTCGTCTCATCCCTCCCCTCGTCCCTCTCGCCCCCATGCTCGCCTCTCCCCCCATCGGCGCACCAGGACCCAAACCCCAACAACATAGTGGCGTGCTGCACGCTGCACACAGAGACCACCCCGCCCACCCTCCTCCTCGTACGCTGCTATCCCCGTGCCGTGCTCTCCTCCCAACGCCCTCCTGCTTCTCACTGCGCCTCCCCTCCTGCATTCCTGCTTTTCGGCTTGCCCTGCTTGTCATTGGTGTTCCTCAGCTTGCCTCTCCACTCCACTCCCTCTCTTTCCCACTCAAAGCCCATTCTCACTAAAACCTCCCAATCCCCTCCGTCCCCCATCACCCCGCACCACCCCCCACCACCCCCCATCGCTCCCCATCACCACCTACCACCCTCCATCACCGCTCACCACCCCAGGCGCGTCTGGAGACGGACCCAGCGGACCGCTCGCAGCTGCGCCTCACCTGTGCCTCCTCCGACCCCACCGCCTCCGCTGCGTGCGTGGCCTGCCCTGGGGGGGGGACATGGGGGGGGGGGGGGGGGGGGGGAGAAAGGGACAGTGAAGGGGAAGAGGAGGAGGTGGAGAAGGGGGGTTGGGGGTGGTGAGGGGCGTATGTGGGGCATGGGGAAGGATGGTTAACTGTTGCAGTCTGTATCGTGTTGCTCATCCCCCCACCTGCTGTTTCTCCGCCCCATTGTTCTCACTGCCTGCATCCACATGCGTGCCTCCTTTGTCACCCCTCCACGCTCACCTGCGTCCCTGCCCTGTGCTGCCCTGCCCCTTCCTTCCCCTTCCCTCCCCTGCCCTCCCCTTCCCTCCCCTGCCCTCCCCTGCCCTCCCCTTCCCTCCCCTGCCCTCCCCTTCCCTCCCCTGCCCTCCCCTGCCCTCCCCTTCCCTCCCCTTCCCTCCCCTGCCCTGTCCTGCGTGCCCACGGCCTCCCCTCCCCGGTGCCACCAGGCTGAAGGACTTCATCAGCGACAACATCAGTGAGCTGCCGCCCGCCTGGCTGCAGCCACCCCCAGTGGCCGCCCAGCAGCAGCAGGGAGGAGCTGCCATGCTCGCCCTGCCCTGGTCTGGTGCCCCTGCTGCTGCTGCTGCTGTTTCTTCCCCTCCCGGCCCCATTGCCCTCGCCCCCTCGCCCGCTGCCCCCCCTCCCGCCCCTCACATGGTGCTCCCAGGGGGTGTTCCCCCCCCTGCTGCTGCCATGGCGCCCATGCCGTATGGGGGCATGCCCATGCAGGGGCCTGGGATGGGCATGGCTGGACCCATGGGGATGGGAGGGCCAGGCATGCCTCCTCCCATGCAGATGGGCGGCGGCATGGGTATGCCGGGTGGGATAGGGCCGGGCGGCATGGGGCCGGGTGGCATGGGCATGGGGGGGCAGATGCCCTTGCACATGGGGGGGATGCCTGGGGCCCCGCAGGGAGGAATGCCCATGGGAGGAGCCATGCCTGGTGCCATGGGCATGCCAGGTGCCATGCCGGGTTACAGGCCTGGAGGGCCTGGTTCCGGGTCCCTGCTCTGACCACAATCATGGCCTAACCTTGTTCTGCCAATTTACCCGTGATACGGTTACCTGTTACTTTGAGTATGGTACAGTAGCTTGTGTTATGGAATTCCTTGCATGATGTTTATAAGTTGTACAGGTATCATATACTGGTAGTAGGATAGTTGATCTGAGAGCAGTGATCGATCAACGATCTATAGGGGGAGCCAGGCCCTTTCTTTTTCCCTCTCCCTGGAGCCAAAAGCCAACCATTATTTCGTGATTTGGTCGATCGTTCACGCCCACGTCATCCCCGCCTTCGGAGCTGGAAGCTGTTGCAAATGCCGCACATTCTCATCCCACCACGTTTACTATGGAGGTTGTCTGACGTCTCCAACACTTTATTGTTGGGTTGAGAAATGCCCTTAGGATATTTTCAAGACTAAAGACTTAGAGTTGTGATGTATTAGCGGAAGTGTACTAATAAACTGATTGAACCACATTGCATTGGTATGTGAGAACAAGATGAGTTGATAATAGCAAAGAGACACAAAGCTTTATATGATTACAAACGAATATGAAAGGTTTAACTAACTGTAACTGCTGTTGCGGTTCGATACAGCGACGACTCGGGTAACTGCTCAATATCGAGTCAGTTATGTGTCCTTGCTGTCGTGCTGCCTTCGGCGAGTCAAAGGTCGCTGACCTTTGACCTTCACTTAACCTCTCTTGCTCTTGCATTTTTGTCAACCTCTTCGGTTGACTCGCTGTTGCTTCGCTGTAGTTCGCCTCGCTTGCAATTCAGTGTTTCAATACATCAGAAGCGCAAACTACATGTTTCCAACACTCCCCTTCGCTTCTGGAGTGTCGTTGTTGGTGACGTGGCCTTGTCCAGTCAGCAGCATGCAGTACTCGAACTTCTGCTTTCCGAGTTTCTTGGTCAAGTAATCTGCTGCCATGTCGGACGTGGGGCAGTAGGATAGTTCGAGTCTGCCTTTCTCGATCTCGTCCTTCACGAAGAAGTAGCGCAGGGCGATGTGCTTCGTTCGGTTCGCGTTCCGTTCTTGTTCGCTATGCGAATTGCAGATTGATTGTCGCAGAAGAGGGAGAAGCTGGGTAACTGGGCCAACTTTGCTTCTTCCAGTAGTTCGCGAAGGTACAGTCCTTCCTTGGTGGCTGAGCAGAGTGCTATGTATTCAGCTTCAGCAGAGGAGAGAGCAATTAGTTCTTGCTTGCTCGACTGCCACGAGATAGGACCGATGGGCTCGAGACGATAGATGTAGCCGGTGCGCGATCGCTTGTTATCAGAGTCGCCAGCGTGATCAGCGTCCACGTAGCCGATTAGTTTAGGCATCGAGGTTCCGGTTTTGTGGTAGGTTAAAGCCCAAGACCCGAATTACAAAAAACGAGGGCAAACTGTGCACAGTTTACCTCCCGCAGCCCAGAGTTTTGCCCCTCGTTGACTTGCGTTGAGCAATTCAGGTCTTGGGCTTTAAGCCGATCGTTGGTGTGCTGACTAGGTAGTGCAGTGTGCGATCAAGTTCTGCCATGTGCTCTGCTTCGGGCTTCTTGAGATAGGTGGCGAGTTGGCTTGCTGAGTATGACAGGTCCGGTCGGCAGGTGACGGCTGCGAAGAGTAGGCATCCCAGCTTTCGCTGGTAATCGCGTATGCCGGCAAATCCGAGCGGAGCGGAGGCTTCTTTGTGGTTTCCGGCGGTGTAGCGTTACGGCGTGGAGATGGCGGCTGGGGATAGTCCGAAGCGTTTTGCGATGGTGTCGGCGTATTTTGCGGCGCTGAGATTGATCGCGTTTTCTCCGTCGAGAATGTTGAGTCCGAGATATTGGGTTATGGTGGAAGAGACGGTGAGTGTGAGATCCTTCTGTAGCTCCCCTTCAAACCAGGTCGTGATGCCATCGGTGGAGCCTATGTAGAGCAAGTCATCTACATAGTCGATGAGCAGGATGTAGTCGGTGGCTTTTGTGCGTCGGTACATTCCTTGGTCATGTGGCAGTTGGCGGAAGCCGATGCGGATTAGCCGGGCGTGCAGGTACTGTTGCCACAGTCTCGATGCTTGTTTGATGCCGTACAGGGACTTCAGCAGCTGACAGACTTGATTGGGATCTGTGGCGGAGCCGTGTGGTTGTTCGACGAAATTTTCCGCATCGACGGGAGCGTAGAGGAACGCATTGGCCACGTCGATCTGGCGGAGCTTCTTTCGCTTCATGGCGGCTATCGCGAGAAGAATTCGCAGAGAGGTGTGTCGACTGACCGGTGCAAAGGTTTTGGTGAAGTCCCGTCCGTGTTCTTGGTCGAAGCCGCGCACGACCCATCGTGCTTTGAATCTATCAATCGTTCCGTCTGCTTTCGTCTTCACGCGGAAGACACATTTTCCGGTGAGTATGGTCTTGATGCGTGCCACTCCGATGGGTACTATCTTCCAAGTGTTGCGTTCTTCCAGCGCCTTTAACTCGCTGTCCATGGCTTCGCGCCATTTTTCCTTGTGTTCCCCCCCCCAGAGCCTGCTGAACTGTGGCAGGCTCCTTTGGCGGCGATGCTCCATGGACGGCGGTGACGAGTCCGAGTATCTGCAGCCCACACTGTGTGTAGCGAGGGAGATTTGGGTCCTCGGGATAGACTGCTTCGTCTCCCGCTTCAGGATCAGGTAAGAAGTTGGGGCCTATGCGTTCTGAATCGTTTTTGTTGACCGGCTGAGGTGTAACGTAACCGTTGTCGGCTAAGTGGTAGAAGACTTCGGCGTTGATGCTTTCGCGAGGGTTGTCGTCGTCCATCGGAACAGGTACCGAGCAGTAAGGAAGGGGTGGAACTTCCTCGGATGCTCCATCCACGTTTTGCTCATCCCAGTCAGCCTCATCTGCTGGCGAAGCGAAGGCTCGGTTGCCACGGAAGCCGCCCGTGAGGTCCCGTTCTGCTGCCAAGTTGTCCAAGTACGTTTGGAGAGTGAGTCGTTCGTAGAAAATCACGTCATGTGCTGCTACTGTTTCCTTCGAGTGGACGTCGAAGATTTTCCACGCGTTGTAGTGTTTTTCGATGCCCAGATGTAATCCCCACTGTGCGCGTTGTGAGAATCTTCCGGCTCGTGCAGTGTGTGGTCGGTACTGTACCATGCAGCCAAAAACTCGTGACATTTTTGTGTTGCCCAATTTTCCTGTCCACAGCAGATGCGGTGATGCTTTGTTTGGAAGCGAGGATGACGAAAGCAAGTTGTGCAACAGCACAGCTTGGTCCATCGCCTCAGGCCACTGATGGTTGGGTAGCCGCACGCCACGTAGCAGCTTGCGCATCGTGTTCTGGAGGGTCCTGTTCATTCTTTCTGCCACGCCTTGCTGCTGATGAGCGTACGGAAGAGAGATGAGTCGCGTGATGCCTCTCTCCGCCAGGTAGTGCTTGAACCGCTGTGACTGATATTCTCCTCCCCCGTCTGACTGGAAACTTTTCAGCTTCACTCCTGATTCCCGTTTTGCTACTGGAAGCCAAGCGACGAAGGCTTCGAAGGCCATGTCACGACTTGGAAGGTTGAGGTGCTAGACGTATCTGGTGGCGGCGTCGATGAACGTGATTACGTAGTTGTATGCTCCCTGTCCACTTTCGCGAGCGTACAGTATGTCACTGTAAACTTTCTCCAGTGGTGCATATGTTGGGGCCCTTGGGTTGTGGTGAGAGATGAACGGCTGATGGGGTAAGTCGGCTTCAGGGCAGGTAAAGCATGTTCCGCGGACTCGTTGAAGTTCTCTGCCGTCGGATAGGAGTAGTGAGTCTTTATCGAGCACTCATGATCTTATCTTGTTGTTCAGTGTTGTGTTGCTAGGATGCCCTAACCTTTGATGCCATAACGATTCGTCAGCGTGATGGCCGGGTGAAAGTCTGTACAGATCGGAGTTGGAGTAAAAACCAGCGGTGATGTTGGCGCTTCGGTGGACGTCGCGTGGAGCGGGAGTCAGCTGCTGAGCGGGCGTTGGTGCTGGTGTCGTTGTCTCTGCTTCTGCCGATGTTGCCGCTGCTGTTGTCGATGTCGCTGCTTCTGCCGATGTCTCTGCTGCTGCTGTCGTTGCCGTTTACGCTGCTTCTGTCAAACATTTATCACATAGCTTGTCTAGGCTATAGTGGGGTAGACACTAAGGGGTACAGTTTCCTAGGGTTTCCTACTTGTACCCAACCTTGTTCTAGTTCATTCATTCCTCGTATTATTCTCACATGGTATAGAGCGGGTTCCCTAGTGGGACCGTTTTTTTTTTTCCTAAGGGCCCACCACTACGATTTTTCTTCCTTACCTGCCCGAAGCGGGCTTCGCGCCTGCCCTTAAGCGCCCCGTCGCGCCCTGTCACGGCCCCTTCGTGGCCTCTTTGCGCCCTTCGCGGCCCCTTCGCGGTCCTTCGCGGCCCCTCTCGCGGCCCTTCGCGGCCCCCTCGCCGCCCTTCGCGGCCCCTTCGTGGCCCTTCGCGGCCCCCTCACGACTCTTCGCGGCCCCTTCGCGGCCTTCGCGGCCCACCTTCGCGACCCCTCGCGACTCTTCGCCGCCCCGTCGTCGCCGCCCCTGCCCCCATTGTCGCGGCCACCTACCCTGCAGCAGCTGCCGTCGCCGGCTCCGCGCGTCGACCCGCCGCTGCGGCCCCGCCCTGCCGATCTCGCCGGTCGCGGCCTCCACCTGCAGCAGCCGCCGAGGAGTCCTGCAGCAGTTGCTGTCCCTGCCGCCGCCGCCGAGCCTGCCTCCGCCGGTGTTGTGAGCCGCCACCGCCACCGCCGCTGCCGTCGCTACTGCCCCGGCCCTGCCCTGCAGCCGAGCCGCGGCCCTGCCCTGCCGCCCAGTTGCGGCCCCGACCCTGCCGGCGCACCACGGCCCTGCCCCTCCAGTCGCAGCCAACCTACCCACCCGGCCCTGGTAAGCGCACCGCCGAGCCGCGCCGCCCTGCCGAGCCGCGCCGCCCTGCCGAGCCGCGCCGCCCTGCCGAGCCGCGCCCTTTAGCCGAGTCGCGCTGCCGCTACTGCTGCTAGCCTGCTGCTGCTGCTGCTGTCATGGCTA